ACCCACCCACCCCTGCCTTCCCTCTGAGAGTCCTCAGTCTGTTCCATGCTTCTATGTCTCTAGATCTATTTTGTTCCTCAGTTTATTTTGTCCATTAGATTCCACATATGAATGAGATAATGTGATACCTGTCTTTCTCTGACTGGCCTATTTTGCTTAGCATAATATTCTCCAGGCCTCATTACTGCCTTTTAACCCAAACTGCTTTTACTGTTTTAAAACTAACAGTAGCATTGTCAAGCAGTTGAAATCATGTATGCAAATCACTCTGAAAGCACTCTGCATTGGTCAGCAGGTGTGAACCTGTCATTTCCAGGACAACATTTGACCACAGATACCACAAACCACTGTGGGGAGGTAACTGAATTGGGCTAAGAAATTTAGCACATCTATCATACTCACCTGACTTTTTTCATCAGATTACCACCATTTTTGTCATTTGTAACTCTAAGAAACAGAACATTCTCCAATCAAGAAGAGTAATTGAAGGAATTGAATATATTTTAACAATACTGAATTTTATAAACGTGGTATATATCATTTAATACTTGGGGAAATTTATCATTGGAGGAAAGCAGTTAATGCTATTAGTGCATATTTTGGTTGATTAAAGCTGCTGTTTTTCTCAAAAATGTAACATTTTCATTTTGACCTACAAAAAGGCAATTTCATATGGTTCAACTTGGTAATTCCCCAGACCCTGGCAATACTGAAAGGTATCGTAGATACGAAAACTACAAGCTGCTCCTGAGGTTTGGGGCTTCTTCATTGGAGGACTGTGAAGCAACCCACAGAGCACATTAGTTTGTGTGTAAAAGATGCTTAAGAGTTGTCCATGCAGAGACCTAGGTAAAGAGTGTTCAGGGAGATGAGAGGCCTTATCAAAGGCTCTCAGGCTCTCAGAACATATTTTTGAATAAATGAAAGCATGTTTCTAACATCAAAAGCCATGTGCAAAGTAGATGTGTTTCAGTGATGCTTTCGGACTATAATACTTCTTTCATGTGTTTTCTATATTTTCAAAAATTGTAGGTGGCTTATCAGAGACCTCTTAATTTTGTAGCTAGGTTGCAGTTCCTCCTTGTGGCATCCAGGGATAGAGTTGGGATATAGATACTGGTATGGTCCTCTTCCTGCCTCTCTCCCTCCTGACAGCCTGCTATGTCTGTTCCATTAAGGAGAGTAAAGAAATCCTAAAAGGTGAGGTAAGAGGATATCCTGAAATGGATCTTACCTGGAGAGAGACAGAGACAGGGAGGGAGAGGAATGGAGGGAGAGAGGGAATGGAAATCCCCTAAAGTAGCATTGACTGCGAGCCCAAGGACTAAGGACCATGGGATGCTTTACTGCAAATTTTAAAAAAGTCCCCTCGTTTGCGAAGAAGCAGTCCTGCACTATGACACAGGCTTGGTGAGCAGAGTGCTGGATGCTTCCAGTCCTAATTTACTCCCTGGCTCGATGCCCTGGTCTGGAGTCACCTCATTCTACTGCTCCATCCGTGGGTTTGTCAAGGAAACTACTCAGGGTTTGTGTGGACTCTTGCTTACTCCTGAGAGAGTGAAGCTTCTGATTTAGCTCAGACTGATAGGGTAACAGGGCTAAGACCAGAAGTGTGGAAAGGACTTTATTCCAAAAGCAGCACAGTATGAGGCTTGGCCAGTGTGGAGGGAAGTGGCGTGGTATAGTTACTTAGTCTGGATGGCAGTTTTATGGCCGTGCATCCTTTCCTCAGTTCTCAGACCCCTGTCACACTTCCAGAGCTGGATGCTGGGCTTTGGTAAAAAACAATCAGTGGATTTCCTTGCCCAGCCCAAATGAATGGTTCAGGGATGGTTAGGAAGCCCAGACAGAAGCAGTGAGAGGTGATGAGACAGGAAAAGGAACAGATACAGGATGCTGAGTTATCCCAGTGACCTGCCCTCCCACCTCCAACAAGGGGAGTGGACCCGACAGAAATGGGCCGTGTTGCTCTTGTGAGCACACAGATCCAGCTGGGCCTGAAACTGGTATACTATTAGTATATCTTGGTTATGTGAGTCAGTAAATACCCTTTTTGCTTAAGTCATTTTGAGTTGGATTTTCTCTTTTGACAAATGAAAGATTCCTAACTGATATGCTTCCTGAGCCTTAAAATGAGGCTAATGGTACCCACCTTGAAGGGTTTGGGGAGGAAGGACAATTAATGGAAAGCACAGGCACAGAGTAGATGTCTGATAAATAGTATTTAATGCTATGAGGAAAAAGCAAAGGAGGTAAAGAAAGGTGTGGGACCCCCAGGGTGCCCCCTCTGTGTCCAGGGCAGGCTAGCAGGGCTGAATGCAGTGCTCAGCAAAGGCTGACACCTGGCTTGGACTGACCAGGGTACCCAGCTGTGAAGGAGAGCTGGCCTTTCTTGAGTCACTTTGAGCCTGTGACTTTCCTGCAATGAGTGCTCCCTCACCCAGTGCGCTATTGGCTGCATAGGAGGAAAAGGAAGCCCTCTTTCAGGACAGAGGAGGCTTCCCATCTTCTTTGTACCTTTCCCCCCCCCCTTTTTAATAATGGATTATAACTTTTTGAAAATACGGAGTGTAAATGTGAACAGAACACAAAATGAACTACATTTCATCACTGTGATGATCATCTCCATTGCCTTAGAAAAGTAGGAACTACAGCTTTAAGTTTAAGTTTAGGAGCTATGTTGGATTTTCAAGAAAAATGAGAAATTTTATATACACAAAGACTGGCCAAGCATCCCAATGCACTCATTCTCCTTTCCCAGAAAAGAAAGCAAGCTGTAAAAAGCTCCTTGATAGAAACTTTGGTTTGAGTGTCAAAATAAAGGAGTGGAGATGGAGGCTGCTACATCTCACCCCCTCCATTAAACTCCCCCATCCCCTTATTTCCCTGAGGTAGACTGGATCCTAATTATAAAAGGGACTAAAAAGTGGCTTCGAATAGCCATTTTGGTTCATCAAGTACATAATACCTGTTATTAAAGAAGCTCCTGCCTGGCCTAATTGCTTATTGTGACACGAGCACCCGCAGCTATTGGAGCAGCACTCAGGAAAAATCCTAAGCAGTTAGAAATGGCAGCAGAAGTCCATGGAAAGTGAACTCTCCAAGCATCCTTCCTCAGTATGTTGGATTCTTTCTTCTTCTGTTGGTGCTTCAGGCACAATAGCCTTCTTTCATTTCCTTTGATCTCAGTTAATTTGCCCATGATGTGCTTTCTGTCTGAATGTTTGCTGCTACTCTTCACCTTATTAACTCTCCATCATGTACTTTTCCTCCAGGAAGTCTTCCCTGATTGCCCCAACCCAACCCCACTACAGGTCAGGTCCCCTTGACCATAGCCTTAGAGCCCCAGTATTGTTCCTTCACAGTTGTGATCATAGTAGTAACATATTTATTTGTATGATAATACATGTTTCTCTATCTTCTTTGCTATGTTATAAGATTCCCAACAGCAAGGACTTTGTTTTTTTGCTCATAAGATCATACCCCCATTAAGGGCACAAGATCTAGCACATAGTAGGTAAACAGTAAATGTTTGTTCAAGGAATGAATAAATGCAAGGGCCAGTTTCATCCACTTTGTAGAAAACCTTTGCTATGTTATCATTGTCAGTAAGAGTTATGTTTGACAGCAAATAATTAAAAACTCAACAGTGGCTTAAGTAAGTAGGTTTTGTCTTCTGTAACTTAGGAAAATTTTCAAACATACAAAATACTTGAATTTTACAGTGATCACCTGTATGACAACCACCTAGGTTGTATCATTGACATTTTACTCTACATGCTTTTACTTATCTACCTGTGTAGCCTTTTTTTTCTTTTCTTTTTGATGCATTTCAATGTAAGTTATTGGCATTAATACATTTTACCTTAAATACTTTAGCATGCGTGTCATTACCTAGAGTTCATATCTGCTTACGGTTCCTGTTGAGGTAAAATTTAAATTCAATAAAATGCCCAAATCTCAAGTATATTATTCAATACATTTTGACAAATGCAAACATTTGTGCAACATAGTCCCTATTAAGATACAGGCTAGTTCCCCAGCCGGCGTGGCTCAGCAGCTGAGCATCGACCTAGGATCCAGGAGATGGAGGTTCAGTTCCTGGTCAGGACACATGCCTGGGTTGTGGGCTCCATCCCCAGCAGGGGGCATGCAGGAGGCAGCCGATCAATGACTGTCATTGTTGATGTTTCTCTCTCTCCCTCTCCCTTCCTCTTTGGAATCAATAGACATCTTTAAAAAAAAAGACACAGACTAGTACCATCAGCTCAAATTTCCTTCAC